ACGAAAAAAGTGCGCGCTTAGCAGTGTTCGTGAGTTAGCCTTAAACTCCGATTTTGTGTCTTGTGACTGGTGGTAATAGGGTTTTGTAGATGCCGGAACTTGCCAAAGACTCTTCGTGAGTACGGAGGGCTAACGAATGACAGCTCAGATGGGTTTACGCAAAGTTAAAGGCCATCGCACTGCTATAGAAGGCTAATCGCGGTTATGTAGTTTACTACACATAACTACATACTTATTTCGTTATCCATAACCCTAACCGTAATACATAAGCCTCGGGCTCAGCGTATATATGGTGCAGCACCAATGATACCTCTGCCGCTCTGCCATTTGGTCCGTGTAATGAGCCCATGTAGGCCTTTCTTGTGAGGCGGCTTTTGTCTGAGATTAATAATAAAAGACTACTTCCATGTTTTAAGTAGCCAGATTTTCTCCTTTAACGACGGTCCCGTAATAAACTTAGTCTTGGGTGACCTTTTCTTAGGCGGCCTCACAAGCAAGCCCTACGCCCCTTCCCCCGTTATTAATGAAGCGATGAATAGTTCCAGATAATGATGGCCAGAGTTCTGAATTCCCACTGTTTGCATACCTCTGGTCATCCGCGCCAAAGCCTCCATCACCTCTCTCCCTATCTTTGTTTTCGTCCCCTACAGTCAGGTCCCCTGCGTGACCGTCTCGTTGCGGGTACCGCCCTCACAGACATTGAACCGATGGCTATGGATACCAACGTCACCTTTGAGGACGTTGGTGGCCTTCAGGCACAGATACGTTCGCTGCAGGAAAGTGTGCTGCTGCCCTTGGTCTACCCAGAGGTCTTTGAAGGCTTCGGCATCGAACCGCCCCGGGGTGTTCTTTTCTACGGTCCTCCAGGTAACGCTTAACCTTTCCCCACGCACCCATTTTGCTCTGCTGAACTTGTATGCGAAGCACATAAATCCGGCGAACGGTTTACGGTGGAATTGTTTACATATATAGTAGTCTCTATTACGGTTATACAACGCCCCTTACTGGCAAAACTGGTGTTAACTAAAAGCTCAAACAGATGTTTCGCCGACACTCTGTCGCTGTGCATGACACAGTTGCGAATGGTTAGCCTCATCAATTGCCCTCCCTCCTCCCCGAAGTCTTCCCCGTGTACTTGCTAGTGGATACTGCAGTTTTTAAATGGTAGCTTTTTAATTTTCTTAGAAATAGATAAGTTCGCTTAGGCAATCAGTCGAAACGTAGGTTTATAGGCGCAGCCTAGCATTTGCTATGAATTTTTGTGCCGAAGTCCACAAGTTACGCAGGATAACCGCGTAAT